GTCAGGTTCATAGGCTACATAGGGCATCAGTGTAACACGCCGGATCTCAGCAGAGTGGCACCTGTACATCTAAGTAAGAGCTCTATGTAGGACCGTAAGCTGGAGTACTTTGCCACGACCGCTAGTTGCGCCATCTCTGCAGAAAGTTGTAGAGGATGAGGCAGTGTAGGTAAAACCCCACTGAAAACGTAGAGGCTTTGTATGCTATTGTGAAACACACAGAGCACCAGAGAAGTTTATTAAGCAGAAGAACAAGGTTTTGCTTTTGGGCTTACAAGGCATGCGGCTATGTTTTTGAGCCAATTTTTGCCATCTAGAGGTGGTTACTTAAAGCCTGCATAATCTAAGCTGGAGGGGATGGAGGTTTACCAATACCTAAGCCAGGCAAACTCCCATCCCTGAAGGCTTTAGTGTCTGATCCAGACAGGAACAAACAATTAAGAATTTGGTTTCAAAGCAGGAAGTAGACTCAGCAATGGGGAGTGCTAAGCAGATGAAAAAACAATGTGATTTTTTTATAAGGGATTCAGAGGAGATGAAGTAGATTAGACTGCTGCTTCTGTGCACTAAATACTTGAAATGTGTTGGGGAATTAGAAAAAGCACAAACATACACTATGCAACATGAACAACTGCCAAGCTGCAGCGCTTGGCAGCTTCCAGAACAGACTATATATCAAATTTACCTTAAAGATTGTGATCATTTAGTGCTTTTCTTTAGTATGCTACATTTTGCAAAAACCTACATAGATCATACCATCAGAGGACAGCTCCAAATCATCTTATAAACGTCAGAGGCCAGTCTAAAAGCACCTCAGCAAGACAGTAACAATTATTTACAGTTAATGGATAGCTGTTACTTCTTCTTTTTCAACCTCTTTTACAGGGTTACAACAAAGAATGTTACATCTCATTTATGCTTCTGGACCTTCTGGACAATAAAAGATCAAAATTAGATATCTAAGACATGGCACAATATGCTTTCCTTGCACACAGAAAATATGCATCAGCTAGGTCTACAGGCTTAGTTGTAGAGAAAAACAGAGTGGCACAGACAGCAGCAGGGAATTAGCTATCCTACGATTTTTGCCTTGTAACCGTTTTGCAAGCTAATGAACTATTTCTGGTTTAATATACCTAATAATAAGAACTTATACTCGTTTTGCTGGTATGAATCTGAAGCAATGTCATATCAATGGTATTGGGTCAGCAGGCATCATCTCTCCTTAGTTATGGGTGAGTAACTACACTGGAACAAATGAGTTAATATTAACTAATTGGCAACAAAAAGATGGTTCTCTTCCAAGTAACTCCAAACAAAGAGTGATAAAAATCAACAAGATTTAATACCATCCACAATTTCAATTACGTTCTAATGCTCCAAAAAGTAAGTGAGAGGCATTTACATGTCAACCCCCATAAATATTTACAGTTATGACTGAAGCAGGCTTGACTCTTCACATCACCCCATTAAATCAACAGCATTGAATAGACTGTTATACTACAAACAGTATAAAAATAGGCTGAATCTAAAAAATGCAAACTAAACACGGATCCCAACCCAGAGTCTTCTAGTCTGTAGCCTAGGGTTACATTAATTTTGAACCCCCATGGAGGTCTGCTTTGCCAATCTCCTGCATTTGTGCTCACAACAAGGCGTGACTCAGCATCCAACTCCACGTACCAAGTTTCCCTCTCCTGTGTCCCTGGGAAGAGAAGTGGTGCTCTTAGCCCTTTTGCTCCGCTGATCATAGACCTTGCCTTCAGCAACAGAACAGTTCTAGCCATGGCAAAGATCCAATTATCTAAAGACTTTTGCTTGGACTTGGAAAAAGAGCCAATTATCCAGGCATCCCAAAATATCTATCTAACTATCCTAACACTGCTAACACTGCTTTGATACTTCCAGTTATATAATCTGGAATAAAACCACAGACCCTTTTTGTTTCAAACAATCTTTAACTAGGTTTCGGCACTTGACTGGAGGAGGGGGTGATATTTGCTGACTGGTGAATATGTTGGTTATCATTTGTTATTTGATCCCTCCTGGTCATACTGAACAGCAGCAATATTGGAATTTGGGTAGACAAGTGAACCTTCTTGATTTCCAAAGAACTGCCTCTTAGTATGACGACTTCTTGGAGACAGTACCCAAGAGTAACAGTTCTGTACTATGCTCCTCTTCAAACTCCCTTTTCTTGGTCACTAGATTGATTCTCTGTGGGTCATATGTAATGGAAAATGTGAGCAATAACTTAGGGTAATTAGCAGTCCTTGTGCTGAAGGAGAAACTCAGGTGAGACAGACAAACAGTTACAGCTCACTCAAAACAGTCATTTTCTGCTAACTTACACAGCCTGTTGCACACCAAAGGATCTCAAACCATAAACCAGGATCACTCCTGTTGTCTTCTATAATGCAGAAGCAGCCCAGAAACATAACAAATCCTGGACTGACATCTTATCAGGGCATCACTGGCACAAGGATTAACACTTCCCTAACCAAATTATATAGCAGCTTTCCTGAAATAGTTTTTACAGGAAATAATTTACATCTTTTATAGGAAGATTTTATTTTATGTAGTCTAAGGACAGTCCATCACTACCTTTAGTATTGCTCTGATTTAGTGAAAAAGAAAATTGTAGAACAGACCGCTCAGATCTTCCCTTTCCTTCTTCAGCTATTCTTTGAAAGAGCCCTTCAATCACAAACTGGTGAATCTTCACTTAATCTCCTGCTCGGTGGGATCAAATCAAAGGGCAGCTCCTCCACCTCTCCTGGAGAACACACCGCTGCAGAGGCAGCAGCAAGTGTGAGCTGGAGGGCCACCTTGGGATGGGAATTTGTGACCTTCTGGCCTAGGGCTATGAGTTTGACCAACTAAGCCATGCCCAAATGGACTCTCAGTTAATTTTTCACAGACTTAACTGAATCAGGAAGCCCTGGCTACAGGTAAAAAATACCTAAAATATATTCCCAGGTATATCTTTAGCCTAGCCCATGTAGACACCCAAGTGCAGGTTGGGAAACCTTTCTTCACTTCACGAATGCTGATATTCTCAAACTACTGACAGACAGATGATGCCTTTCATGGGTTGCATCATGGTTTTGAGAGCCCTGTTTACACAGGGATCAGAAAAAACCACACGTGCTGGATTTTTCATTCTTAAAACAGCTGTGCACACACACAACTGTTTAGCAACAGATAGCAAAATAGGAATAATACTTGCAGCGCCCTGCTAAGACAGCTGTCACCCAAAGGTCTCCTTGCAGCAGTTGCAAATATGATCTTTTTTAATTATGAAGATGCTATGCAAAACCAATGTAAACCAAAGGCCTACTATGTATACAGCACAGCAGCTACTTGCTGATAGCAATGCAGCTCAATTACTCTTCTATAAAGAAGTGCCAGAACTCACATCTCTTTGTTCCTGGCTTGAGCTTTGCTTTCTCTGTAGCAGACTTACTCTTCTCTGCTTTTCCTCAGGAGTCACCTCATGCAAATCCTGAAGAACCTTTCCATACCACAAGCATGAAGAACACAGTGTGGGGAGTACGGACACATAAAGTGTCATGTTTTCAACATTGTTCTTGATTTCTATAAAACCCACCAGTCCCACGAGGACAATGAATTCTGAGGGGCATTAAAAACAATGCCAGAGACAATCTGGAAAGGTCCTGCTAGAAATGGCAGTTTTGGAGGACTCTCAGACCAAAAAATACAAAGGACACTTAGTCAAGGTGAGCTGAGAAGTATGCAACCAGGAAAACTTGCCAATAAAAGGCACTCCTTCAGAACATAACATTTTGTCTGACTGTTTTATCAGGAAATCAATTTACAACTGCTTCTTATTACTCTGAACTGAAAATGACAGGAGTGCAAAGGCTCTAAATCAAGGAAAGGCAGGCAGAGTACGGCAGTCCTCATTCACTAAAGGATTAAACATTTTCTGCTTTTGCATTTTAGAGAAATCCAGCCTGTTAGTTTCTTTCCTGAGGGCGTTTTTTGTTTTGTTGTTTTGATTTTTAAACAGTACAGTTTCTGCTATGAACAGCTAACATAACCTTGTGCCAGTTACGCAATGCTCTGGAGCAGTCCGATCTATACAATGATCTTTTTCATGACCAAAGCTGTCCAGAGAGAGATGCCTAAAATTGCTAGTTTAAGACAAGCCCATCACAGAGGAGAATAAGTGTCTTAGATTTCAAAGCAAGGGCTTTGGTAACAAAGCCATCACTATAGAGAAATTCACACGGCACTTTCCAAGCTTTAGTTCAAACTTGCAACATGCACAAGGTAGATTAAAAGAGCCAGCTTGGGAGTCAATCTACAAAGGTTGACTTTAAATGTAATTTGAATTGATCTGCTCCAAATGTATCACCACGTCCCTTTATTTTTGTTTTACTCCAGAAGAATACTTTCAGTTTTACATAGGTGCTCTCTCACATAAGGAAAATAAAATTCACCCCTCCCTCTGCTTCTTCCCCTGCCCCAGCTTCTTTTCAGCAGCACGGTCTCTTCATCCATTTTTTCCTGTTACTCACCAGTTCTGAGTTCTCCAGCATGGCCCAATTTCACCATTCAGTTTTCACACACAATTCTGCTTGAATATGTGTTCTCCAGTACATTTCCTATCCTTACCCACACAGATGGAGGGAGCACAGAGCTCCCAGTGTGCTCCACAAAATTATTAAACATGTGCTTTTCTACTACAGGGTCTCAGCCTCTTCAGAATGAGCAAGGAAATCCTAGGAAGTTGATAAAGTGGCCTACAATTCCAGATAGCTCAAGTCCAATTAAACAGTTCTGTCAGTCTCAACTTTTTTCCTTGCTGCTTCAGCATGTAAAAATCCTGTCTATTCATACCTGGGAGACTCAATATCAATTTACTCTATGGTCAAGATGGGTCAACATGTTTGCCTGCTAAGTCTCACAGGTCCTGCATTTCTTCAGCAGGTTCATATTGCTTTCCCAGTAGCAACACTGAAATGCCCACTGACCTCCTTGTGGGAATCCTTATGTGCTTCCAGTGTTTTCATGATAGTCAACTCTGCATAGTTCTTAAACCTTGCCGGCTGGTTCCGTAAGATCTCTCTCAGGACTCGCAGCGCCAGGGCTCTTATTGAATGCTGTGTCAAGAGAAATCCACATTAGAAAGTCACTTCTCAAAACTGTAGTTTGAAGTAAATTCTCATGGTTCCCTATGCCACCAGAAATCTTATATTGCTCTACCAGCTCCCATGGAGTCAGCAGTGTAATCAATATAACTGAAATTCAGAATTGGTCTCCTTGGTTTTGCACAAAAATTCACATAAAATGACTGTTGTCACAGATACAAGAAAGAATCAGAATGACTCTACTTTGTTAAATTCCACATTCTTTTGCCAATGAAGTACAACTTTGTACCCAAAGCAGCATGTCTGCATTCCACGAACCTACAAAGAAGCTCAGATCATATTTGTTTTGCCCTTCCTCTTTTTCTTAGCTTTGCAGATATCAAATGGGGCTCCATCCATGCAACAAAGCTGTTTCTCATGTACTAATGCAGTAAAATTGACTCTCTTCCTGTAATTCTTATGGAAATTACTTTCAAGAACAGTTCAGTCATTGTAGTCAACACTGACCTATGTGTTAATCCTTTATATCAAAAGATATAAAGCAGAAGGGATTTATAACACCTGCTTCAATTTCATAACTGTTACATTAAGTTTTTGGCCTGCGGCCACTCCAAATAGATTCTATGATTTCACCAGAGGAATACTTACTTTACTCTATACTCAGCCTTTAAAGCATGTCCTTTGCTATTCGTCTGCAAAATTCGTGCAGTAGTACAATTCACATGTACATAGATAAAGCCACCATATCTTCTAATACACATGTGATGATGCTATGATTAAACATGTAGGACTAGAGCAGCTCATGCTTATACTACAAACAACGACTGAGAAAGTGTCAGCCACCTACACTGCTTCGGAATTAAAATTCCTGAGAGCGCACCATATACTTTCCAATGAGTACAAGAAATACAATTGATTTTGAAACAGATGAAACAAACAAAAAAAAAGAATAACTGAGAGTGCTTTGAAGCCTAAATATCGTAACATTCAGATGGAACATGGCTCTGATGTGAAGGCGCACCAGGGTGCTAAACGTTTACCAAATATCATTGTGCTGAAAGCTGATCAAATAGCCCCAAGTGGATAAAGTAAAAGTCTAGCCTGCAAATTGCCACTTTGATCAACTACCAAATATAAAGCTGTGGTAACACTGCTTTTTTTTTTTTTAATACTTCAAAACGAGATCCCTTATAAAAGCAGCTTGTTCTTGATGACATTTTTGCAAGAGATAAGAGGCCCATCCCATGAGATCTAATAGCCCAGATGTTTAAACCACATACAGAAAAAAAAATTAATCTATTCTAGGGTGCCTTTCTTCTCCCTTTTTTGGGAATGGTTATGATATAGTTAAGAGCTTGTAACTTCATCCTAACTCAGAGGGGAACAACTTTTGAAATCTTGATAGTTTTTGTACTAGATTAGAAGATAACTCCTTTTCTGATTCTAGTTCAATTTCCTAGTTATTTGTTACTAACACTCTGGACAGAGGGGGAAAAACTGAGACACTTCAGAGTGGCTTAAAACTCATCATTGAACACACCGAAAACAAACACAGAGTTGTCAACCTTCAAAAGAAAAAATGAGCAGTGCAGCATCATTGATGAGATGCCGTACAAATGCAGTAGGTTTCATTTAAACTAGTGTGGAGGAACTATCACCCCAGATGAAGGAATGTACAGGAGAGTTAGAACAAAAATCTACATCTCACATCTTTGTCTCCAAGCGTTTCCAGCAGCAAGAGCAGAATGGTTTTGAAATGTTCCTCCCAAACTCCGAGATTATCTTCCCTTGTGATCTTCAGCAATTCCAGAAGAGCTCCTTTCCGCTCCTCCACCCGCTCGTTGTGGTTGGAGAGCTCTTTCAGAAGATCAGCCACCAAATCTGAATGGTCAATGGGCACTTCTAGGACAAATAGCAGAAAATCATTTGGGGAAATGGGGAAAAAGATCAAAGATGCCAAGATCACTAACCTTCTACAGAACAAAGTGCACATAACAAGCCGCCCTCCAAAAACGCATCAAATTCCAAGTGGCCTCAGTCAAACAGGCAAGTGAATCTGACAAGCCCACAATTTCACCTGAGTTCATGACACAGCTCATGAATCTGCACATGGCTTCTAACGAACCAGGAAGAGATGACGATTGAATTTCATCCAGTTCCAATAATTACTTCTGCAAGATGAGAACTGCTGCAGTTTTTCCCAGACACACACACCCAAAACCAGTGATCACATGTATGACCTTTAGATCAAAGTACAGTGACTCATCAGTGTACTGCAAAAGAATAAAGCTAAGGTGTAGCATCACTTAAATGAAGTGAAATGCTCAGTAACAACGAGCTATTGAGTGAGATGTTTCAGTCATAAAGAGTGGAAGGTCCCCAAAATAGTGTCCCTACAGATGCGTTTAGATGCTTAAGGGACTAGTTTTAGGAAAACTCTAGACAAACAAGCCAAGATGGCGCCATAACATTTTCTCAATAGCCACAGATCACGTTTCGCTGGTACATGAGAACAAAGAGTATTTTACAACAAGTCTCAACTCAGATGCAAAGTAATATACAACATACACATGGGCAGGCATGTATCTGAGAGCACTACCCATACACAAATATATCAGAAACAGAGCAAGCTCCCGGCAGTTTTATGAGATGTACTGATACAAACCATCTCGAAGTTGATCCATGTCATCATCAAACACTGCTTCCTTCAGGGCAGTCTTGTCATAAGTGTTAATTGTGTCAGCATAAGGATAGGGGTTATATTCTCGAGCACGTGGCCCTGAAAAGGCGCGGGGAGGCTGGGTGTTAAGTAGGGAGGTTTTGTTATCTAGAGCCATCCTTCCACCTTCCACAACGTCACTGCTTCCACGGACATCACTGGTAGGCACAGCAAGGCCACCATCTCGAGACACCTGGGGGATCAAACAGAGAAAAAAGACATGAGACTACTCAAATTCTGTGGAAGCTGTAGATTTTTTTGGAGTTCACCCAAGAACACAAAGAGGCATAGAATTGTTTACACACACTTAAGTAAAAATTAGATTACTACTTCTTTCCCTTATATAACAACTGTTCCAAAAATAATATCTCATGATCACAGGGCAAAAAGTTACGCTAACATTCCTAAATCTTAGTTAATATTGCTAAAACTGCACAAGCTGGCAAAGATCAGCAGCTCTGGAACAGGAACAATTTGCTAAGAAAGGGAAAGGAAGCAAAAGCAACATCCTCCTGGTGGAACTTCACAACCCATTGACAGAGGAGACTGGAGGACGATGCTTGGCAAGCCAATATGAAATGAACAATAGAAGGGTCCCAAAGAAAAATTCCAGATGAAGAATTTTTAGTTTTGAAGGCTAACTTAATCTACTAATGTAAACTTTTTTGTCCAGATAGGAAGCAAAACTGCCACAGAATCATAGAATATCTCAAATTGGAGGGGACCTATAATGATCATTGTTTAAGATTTTTGTAAATTTTGAAATCCATATATTTAATTGGCATCTCACATGGTAGATAATTCTGTAACATTCATGCAGCATAAGGTACCATACGAGTTGTCAACTCAGAGTGATTCCAGGTCCTTTCTATATATGAAGTAATAAGCCACCCATATACTAATACGAAGTAATGAGGGAAGCCACCCATGCATTTTAAGAACTAACATTTCCCATTACAGACCTGACTACACACAGTCCATGTAAAAGCAATCACTGAGCCATGCTGAGCCTGAGGAACACTAGCACTGTTTCCTTTGTACATGAGACTCCCACAGAAGCCCAGCGACCACTTTTCACAGAAGGCTAGAGTTCAAAGGGAGCAAGGGACTGCAGTAGTGGGACACCATAATTTAGGTATACGAAGTTAGCAACCAGTAAGTGGAAGATACTTCCAAGAATACCGCAGGAATAACTGGATTTTTTACACTAACAATCCAAAGGCAGGTTTGAACACAATCTTTTAAAATTTCACCTATCTGGAGACATTAATCAATTGAATACTTACAATGTCACAGTCTTTCTTTCCATCACGTTTGATTGGCTCATTCAGGTCCTCTTGACTACGGAAACTAAATTTTTCAATCGCTTCTGTGACTCCACGAAGAGAGCTGTAGATTTCATCAGAATTTAGGTTCTCCGTGTCATAATCCAGCATACTAAAGACCAAACGTATATGAAATGTTACATATGAAACTGGAATCTGCTTTTGACTATTAACAAAAACAATGCCAAGTCAGAGACAGGTGATTTCGCAGACACTTTCTAACAGGGACTTGTAACAAAACATGGATGGAATCAAAGCAGACTTCTGAGTCTCCCCTCAAACGGGGCTAAATCTAGGAGAAGCTCCACTGAAATCAGTAGCGTTACATTGCTGTAAGTGAGGGGAAATCAGGTCCACTGTTTGTTACATTCCACAGCAGTGAGTGTGCTAGCTTCTGTGAACAAACAAAAAATAAGCCCTATCCCCAGCATGGTAATGGTGGTCTTTAAAAAGGAAAATAAAGAAAATTAATCACTATGAGAACTCAAAGGGTTGTGACTGCTGGTGGAAATGAAATCCATGAAATTTAAGTTTCGTAATATAGCAAATATATTCTATCAATGAATTCAAATGTGACAGATTTAAATGGCAAGGAAAATGTATCTTGACGTAAACCTTAGTCTAACATGTCCCATTTTCGTTTATGGAGTAGTAAACCCAAAACCACTTGCACAATGCCTTGATAAAAGATGCATTTCAGTATTGAGCCTAGGTTTGGGAATTCTCTCACTCAAATCTGATGCTTTCTTGCAGTCTGTCTGTTCCTCAGCAGCATAAAGCCACACAAGTTTTGGGATTCCTTGAGGAGTCATCCAAAATTAAGTTTCATGAAAAAATGCCTGGCATGCAAGGGCAGATAAGAAAAGAAGTGGCTAAGAAGAGAAGTTCCTACAAGCTTGGAGAAAATTAAAAGATATTATTGGCAGGACTTTGCGCTATCTAGGAGGAGAAGTTGAGTTTGCATGACAATCAGTTTTCCAAGAGAGATTTAATGAAGAGACCCAGTAATAACGTCTCTGGGGGAGTCTTGGATCTTAGTAGAGCCAGAAGCAAATAAACCAAAAGAATCTGAGACATTTACATCAAGTTGTTTGTCAATAAATGGCAAGAAGCAGCTCCCTACAGGGGTGAATTACTATTTCTTAAGAGTTTGGGAAGGATGACACAATGGTCTTGGAGGAGAAGAGCTAAACAAAGAGCTGTGGTTCCTTTCCCACAAAAGAAAGATTCCCTGTGAGTTAGGTGGGGGGGGAAAAAAACCAACACAAAACCCAAAAACCAAACACACAACAGAAAATACCTTCTGAATCCTGAGTACACAGCTATTATTTTCAATAGAACTAAAAGTAGGATGTTAAATATCTAGAACTATTGCTTTTTTTTCCTTGGAAGAAATTCAGGAACTTCAGACAGAGGATAAGATTGGTGCTGCCCGATTCCTTTGGGATTAACACACCGAAAATAGCCATAATCCCCGGCTCCCAAGCAACGCGCTCGCACTACACTCACACAAGCATCAGCACCCTGTATTCTGGCAAAGAAAACTGAAGAACAATTCCCCAACTTTAAACAGTGTCTTGTCAGGTCAGGAACAATGAGAAACCACTTAAAGAACAGACCAAGATCAGGAACAAAAGTTGTTTATAAACCTACAGAAGTTAAAGTATTTAGGGCTTTTCAGACAGCTGAATGACACTAATGCACTGTGATGGCTTTCCAGACAAAAGTGAAGGCAGTTTTTAGATTCTTCATAAGTATCAGGGAGAGAGAGGAAAACCTTTGTTGCATATGATCTTGAAAATGCTAATTTTGAGCTCAAGCACATTTAATTCATAGATCTTAAGGAGTTCTTCATACAATATTTAAGTGAGCAATGAAACTGCCATTTGAGAAGGTATATATGTGATTGTACCTGTGTATCCACACCAAGAAATGACGTGACTTACCAAAGGTCACACAATGAAATCCATGGCAAAAAACCAAGAAATAATCACAGATATACTGACACTAAATCTTCTGCTGAAATCATCGCTTCTTTCCTCAGGGACGAATTTTGCCCTACACTCTTACCAAAGAACAGATCAAAGTACAGGATCTGCAATGCTAAAGGACTAAGGCAATTTCTCAACAAAGAGCCACTGATCGGATGCATTTTTCAAAGCACAAACCCAACATTTTAATAACAATCTAAAGAATCCAGTGATTTTATATGTCAAGAGTAAGCCTGTGTAGCAGATCACATTATGGCTGTGTTCTACATGAACAAAAACTCCACGTGTGAACACACACGTCCATTGACAGTATGTGCACTGGAATACTTCACAGACAACACAATGGGGGGAATAAAAAAGTAAAATGGAACTACACCCACCTTTCAGGAAAAAAAACAAGGCACAAAAGGAAAAAAAATTATGACCCATGTAGAAAACTAGAGGAAAGTCACAGGATGAATAAGAAGTGAATAGAGATGAACAGTGTTCAGGGATGTCACAACATTATTTTCCATCTTCTGCTGCACTAAAACAATGCAGCTCTCAACAGGTTTATCAACATACAATTTGGCAGTTTTCCAGTCTGACATGAAATACATTTTACTTCCATAAACTATTATTCAGTTTCCATTCCAAATTATGTGTAAGTAATCAACAGTTTAGCATCCTCAAGCAGTACACAGCAACCCACTTCCTTGCACTTTCAGGCTCGGAGCTGGAATATATGTCAAATTGTTCCAACCTTTGGTGTTAGCTAATGAAAGGGGAAGAAAAAAAATTTCTCAACTAGTTTAACTCCAAAAATCAACATGGATCTCTTCCACAGATATCTTACTGTCCTAGAAGAGCCAGAACATTGATTTAAAGTTTTAATTCTGCAGGTATTCACAGAGGTACAGACTATGGGATTCTATTTTCTCTCTCAGATGTCACAGATTCCCAGATTTGAAGCCCTCAAAGAACAATGTTTGCTTTTCTTTCAATAGTTTTTCACTTGGAACTTCTTGCTTCGAGGAAAGACTATATATAGTCCTTCCCTGGGTAACAGGCATATTTAAGTGAGGAGAAGCCACATCTACAGAAAGTCTGTTGTCAGGGTATAAACTAAAAAAAAAAAAATCCAAGGAGTTTAACATACAGGTGTGACAAATTAAATTTGTACTCAGAAGTTTTTTTCTTTATTAAAACCAGTATACAGCTTTAGTCCAGTATACTGATTAAAGATCTGTATGCAGATTGGAACAAAATGTGAGGGCACAGGAAGAAGAGATTTCAAAATTAGCCATTGATAGCCTCTAAATCTTGTGGTAAGGACAATTTTAATTTCAATACTACAAATTTCCAAGATGTTCCCCAATCACACCGTGCAAGCAGCTGGTAAAATCACATACACAAGCTTCGTCCTCATTGTCCTATGGATATTCACTACTGCAGATGTGAAATTGCTACTGAGCCTGTTTGAAAGTACTCATGTGCCGCTTGCATAGTGTAGGCAAGCTGAAAGACCTTGCCCATGCTACACCACCACCACCAGTGCCTGCTGAAAGTGCCCAGCAACTGTGCTCTGCATTGGAAGCCAACTGTGAAACACATACCCATCCAGGAACCTGGCAGAGAGGAAAAGTCTGGAAAAATCCACTTTTTTTTTTTTCCACTTGCATGCCACATCTTCCCCAAGCAGCAAGTGGCTGCCTGTCACCTCCACTCTCTGAAAGCTATCATCTCTTTTACTTTTCCAGTCAAAGCCTCTGCAAATCATTTCCCCCGTCTGAACAAAACCCACAGTGTGAAAGGTAAATAATACTGTGACACCTCAGACAAGTTGGTTTAACAGGCAGCTTGTTACCTGGGAGAGTAAGAGCGTCTGAAAGTCTTGTGGGAAGGAGCAGTGGGGATGGAGTTAGGCTGAGAAAGGGGAGGGGGGTGCTTCGACAGCCCATCTGCACTCCAACCCCAGAACCGACTGCCGTGATCAGAGGAGAAACGAAAGAGAGAAAAAACAGAGAAAGGAGAGGGAGAAAAAAAAGAAACTATAATCTGAGTGGTTTAGTGCTGTCATGCTACCTTGGAGAAAGAGAAAAAAATTAATAGAAACAAAATTAAACAAGAATACTCCATTGAGCCTCACAAGTCACTGTTTTGGCCTTTATTATTCATTTCTACTTTTATTCCTAACATAATGGTATGATTCACACAAAAATCGTCCCTGCTTGTACTAACCAGTAAATTTTACAAATGGATATAGTATCTATAAACAACTCTTAAAATGCTCTAAGGAAACAATCCCTGACCATGCATCTGTATCCAAACTCTAAGCAGGTATTTGCGAGCAACAGGATTTCCAGGAAGAAAGGAAAGTTGGAGTTGACATTTTTATCAGACATCCAAAGGTAGTTTGTAAAGTTTGGCTCCTGGTGCCTCTATAAGAGCCTGCAATCAGGCCCTACGCAATCAGCAAACCTTTGTGGGGCTTAAGATCTGATCCTATTTCACCAGATTCAAACTGATCCCAAATACGCAGTAAGTGGAAGTCAGTCTAGAGTGTAAACGTATCATGTAAATCGGGGACTTAACCAAGATCTCCGCAGACAAACGTGGAAAGACGGGATGAAACAGTCTGTAAGCCGATTCAGATCTCTCATCAAACTTCCACAAGCCCCTTCTAGTTACTGTTTGATCCTGCACCTTTGGGTCAAGGCATCAATCCCTGTGTCAATTTGTCTAACCTTTGCTTTTGTCCTGTTCCCTTTATGGTATGTGGATTTTCAAAATCATCTTCTAAATGAGAATATAGATCCTTGAGCTGGTGGAGTATGCAGGACACGACTTTGTTTCTATTAAGTTTAAGCACACTGTCTCAGAAAGTCACATTTGTATATGTGCAAGTGAAAGATGCTGCCAGATCAAAAGCAGCAAACAAGTCAAGAATTGCTCCAGTGCAAACAGCAGCAAAGTCAGCTGAAAACTCCTCTGAAGAGTGGTGTCAAGAAATTCACTCATTAACCAGCAATCAAAACACATAGCTATTACTTGCAACTATTACGGAAGTACACCAGACGCCCAGACTGCTGGTCGGAAGTCTCACAGCTCAGGTCTCACCTACCTGCGAACAGGCCACCAAACAATGCAGGCTTGTCTTTATTGTATAAGGTGGGTGGCTTATTTTAATTCTTTTTCCTTGCCTTGCTCAATACTGAAACTGTCAAATTTTATTTTTAATGGTATTTTCTCTTGTCAGTGAAAAAACAAGCACGTAAATGTACCTAGCCAAATAAAATTGTTAGCCTTTTATTTTGATGCATTTCCTCTAGAGATCGCTGAAGGACTGAACTGTTGGGTTTTTGTGTTTTGTTTTGGTTTTTTTTTTTAATAATTGGAACTACACACAGGTCTCTAGGCTACTAATAAAGGCAGAATTAGTGGGGCAAACTAGTCATTTGATATTCCTTCAAATATTCCTACAGAATTCTAGGTGAAAATTCACAACCTGAACGTAACATTTGAGTTTACAGAAGTTCATTTGCCATTCAGAATGGTATTCTTACACTGGAGGACTTCATAACTTAGTATTTTCCTTCTTATCATATTACATCATTTACCAAATCTCAGATTTTTCTGTTCAACACAAATGCAAGCCATTCATCTGAGCATTGCCCAGGAAACATTCTTTCCTCCCAGTCAGAACTCCTGTTTTTTTTTCCCTATTATTTTCTGTCTTCCCAAGTGCTCTCCCCTGCTTTTCTTCTTCAGAAAACACCTTTTTCCTCCATAACTCCTCTCCCCCAAAACTAAAACTGTCAGACAAAAAAAGCAGGTACAAATGCAGAAGTAACTCACAGATGCAGTGGATATGTTCTAGTAATCATGAAGCAGATCTGGATGGAGCAAATGAAAGCAGAAAGGAGGACTCTGCCTAAGGCCCTGAATGCACATTACCCTTCTGAAGACACTAACATCAGGGGATACTTAAGCAGATGTTATCTTCTGGATAGGCAAATTAGCTGTTTGCATCAAAGTCCACCTCAACCAAAACATTCAGAATCTATCCAGAGCTCAAATACACGTACAAACACACACAAAAAATTAGTCACCTGAAACTCAGTTGTGATGGCAATAATATGGGAGAAGTGATGTGACCTAAGGGCAACGGCATACATATATACTATAGAAAGTCTGTATCAATGAAGCCTTGCTGATTAATACTGAGGATATTGTCCACAAACCATTAGTAATATGGGAGAACAGCTATGCTTAGCAGCATTTTTATATTCCTACAGCACCCAAACTATCACTTCCGTGTGTATCCCAGCCTCAAAGACACATACCTCTCTAGGTATGACTCCTCCAATCTGTGCATCAAGAAAAAAATTCAAAGGAAAATATAATCTTCAAAAATCAAAGCTTGCATTAAGAACTGGAGATAATCCTTCAACTGACTGCACTCAGGCTGCCTGTACGAGACACAGGCATGGACAAGATAAGCAGGGCCCGCACATGGAGCACCCCAGGAAGCAATGGGCATACACAACCTCAGTACAATCCTTTGGCAATGGGTCCCATAAAAATGTAAAGCCAAGCCTGGTTTCAGAGAAGGGCTACACAGAGAAACTGTGGGAATTTTTATCCTTTTACGCTGCTATCAGAATGACTCATGTGTGCTCATTTTCCAAGTTTGTAGAGAGAAAAGTTACATTTTACACCACTGATGAATAGCAAACAACAAGCATTTGTAACGGAAACATGACACAGAAGCATCTATACTAACAACGACTGCAATACTGCAGTGTGCCCTACCTCCTGTAATCTGTTAGCACATCTTCCAAAGCCTTTTTTCTGAAAGAAGGACGACCACATGTACTCTTCAGAAACAGAGTTAAATTCTCCTTTGTTCTTTAAGTCAGGACCATGCTCAAATTGTGCTACACAAGACATTTCAAGAAGGACACAGTCCAGCAGAACATCAGAACCTACTGCTGCTAATTTGCAGAATTTGCCACTGTCTTTTCTACAAACGGTAAAAATCTGCAGCTACTGTTACTGCTCAGAGTTCACTCACCAAAAAAAAGTAGAACTTCTCCTCTGAATATTTTAAAGGGCTTTGACAGCAGCTTCCACCTTCACCTATCACTGAAGAGTAACTTCTACATAGCACTCTGGAATAACAAAACCCAGCCAGGACGCAGGACAAACTTACTGAGGAGACACCTAAATTTTTGGATCAAAATCTCCAAGAACTCCATAGAAAATTGAAGGAATGTTTGTTTTCTAAAGGAAATTCCTGGTCCACTGCATCAGTGGCAGTTTTAGTCTTGACAACTTAATGGCAGACTGCTCTGGAATTACATGCCATTCTAACTATTCCTTGAGAATGTATCACATGAGAAAAAAAACCCTTCAGTTCCTAAACCCAAAATGCTAGAAAACAACAGCAACAGTGTATGCTGAATGCTTTAATCGATATTTTCATACGCGCATCAAGAGGTGAGAATAGAAAGACAAATTGAAAAGCTGTGAGTGAAGTGGCAAAACACAGTTGTGTCCCAATGGCAAAACCTAAAAACTGTGGTAAAAGGTCATGGATTTATAAAGTAAGTGCCACATGCAAATGTGGCCAGCAAAGCCACAACGTTACCACAGGGAGACATATCTCCGTTTATAATTTTCATGACAGAAATCAGCAAGGCAACAATGCTCAAACTAGTCAAAAAGGAAGCAACATAGTTGGAACCATTCCCCTGAAACTCTACCACTTAATTTCTTAATGAAACCTTTGTTGAAGAAACTCATAATAGGTAACTTGACCTCAGCTTGCAACCTCTCGGTCTAGTTTTGGATTACAGCAGATTTAGGGGTCACAAAGATGTATTTAGATATCCAAATTTTTCTCAGGAAACCCCATGTGCTCATCATATGCTGCTGGAATTAGTGTAACTACTCATTAAAGGCTAAAAGCCTGTATTTTTCCTGACACATGGGAATTCACATGTCTAAGCATCCCTCCACACAGGGTTTAGCAAGTCATGATAGGACTGATCAACAGATTTCAATGTAAACTACTACCCTGGACTTCGAACTGCAGTCCTCACCCAACACCTTTCCTTCTGTCTCTTCCATGACAAAGGGAAGCGACCTCCCACGGAGAAGGCAGACAGATAAGAGCAGCAGTTTAAGCTTTCCCAGCATAAATTGAAGCTTGTCCAGGCAACAACCTAATACTTTCCTTCAACATTTCTATGGTCCCAGAACATACCGTTTAAATCCCCCATCTCCTCTGCTGTAAGTTTTAATGGTGTGAAACACATACATTCCCAAGATCCAAGAGTCCAAGTTTGCTCAATAAAAGGTTTTGGATAGAACCAATATATTCTAAGGTAGCATCTGCAGCTTCAGCAAAACACCTGGTTGCAACAGACCTACTGCCCAAAGGATCAGGCCACTATTCTGCTGGTAAGTAGCCAGGAGAGTGGTTTGAGAGGTATTCAGCATTGAAACACAGTCACCACCTCTGCTTGTTCTACATCCTCACAAAGCACGAGAGGGAAACAGGAGATTCAGTACTTCGCAGCATAAGCACTGTACTACAGTCAGATGAATTACTGATCACAAGGGCACACCTGAAAAACCAGACACAATCCAAAACCCTTGACCTGGAAGTCATCATATACTTTGTGATATTTGCAACCTCAACAAAACCTCATTTCTAATACTGCCATTTAATATTACCTTTACTGAACCCACAAATGTGATTCTGGAGAAGGCCTAGTTACGAAAGAAAATCAGTAATGTAAGCAAAGACATTAAGATTACACAGATAACACAAGGACTGGAACACTGATGTCAATCACCAACCATGTATTATCCTATTCAAACCCTGTTTCTTTGGAGCAATCTACTGTAAACTTTCAGTCTTGTTTTTGCTTTCAAATGAGTCATATTCTACAAATACACACTCAGTGTTGAAATCCTTTAATATTTTGCAAGTGATTTAATTAGCCTGCCACATTACCTTGGAGACAGTCCACCATGGGAACAGTTGGTAGGTGAAGTTAGGGGGCTGGTTCTGCTGCTGGAGTGCCGGGAAGGAGTCCGACCAAGAGTATTGCTGGGGGAACCCTGGCACAGAAGCAGGGAGACGGGGATTAGCAACATGTTGCAATGCACAGGCAGCAGTACCCAACAACCACAGGTCCAAATATTGCCTTTGTTTGTGCTAGACAAGCTTAGTGAAGCTTTGGTTTTGGCTCTTGATCTAAAAATCTGCAGCCATGGTTCATGTAGTCAGTATGTTCTTGAAGGTACTGTTCTGAGGATAAAGAAAGCATATATGCACTTTTCTACAATCCACAGTACCTGCAATTCTAACTTCACAACATGTACGGTCTGCAAATATTGCCAGAGAAATGGTTTATCAGTCCACCAGGCTACCCAGCTTCTCAGACATGATTTGCCAGGCTCCAAAGTATGCAGACCATTACCCTGGCAATTTAGCAATTTAAGTATGCATTGTCTAAAGCATTCCAATTGTGCTTGTTAGGAGCATAAGTAATCTAACTTATCATTTTTCCACAATCATTTATATCAGTAAATGAACAGAAATTGCTCCCGGTTCTGACTTTCTTCACACACAGTCGAAGGTACTAGAGAATCCAGTCTGTTTGCCTGGTAGCCTAATGGTGCAGTTCTAGCTTACACAAAGGTCTACTTGTCCCTATGGAAGTGCAAAGACAGGAGAGTTCAAATTCCAGCAAGTTCACAAGATTTCCACACAAAAAAGGCAAAAAATATCCTAATCTTTGCTGCTCTGGGGGGAAAGACATTTAGAAGCACACTTAAATCCTCTACTAACATATCCCTTCACAGAAATAAAAATATGCAAGAGCTTCATGTAAAACCAAAATATAAGGTAACAGGTGTAGACTGAGGAGATCTTGAAGGTCACATCAAAGATCCTGCAAGCTTCTTAGTAGTCTATATATCTGTTATTAAACTGATATTAATAGTAGTGATAACCCTAGAAAAGCCTGTGGATCTCTGTTTTAGTCAAAAGGTCATTACTGGCAGGATTTTCAAAAGCACCACCAACTTGAAAGCACAAACCCCACCAACTTTCATGCACTTCTCAGTAACCTTTTATTTTTAATCTGTATTGGTTTATGACTAAATTTAAAAATAACTGAGTTTTTTTTTTAATGGTCCCTATAAAAGCAACATCAAACAGAAGCCTCTGTTGACATATTGCTTCAAGACAACAGTTACAGAGGAATCATGCTACTAAACATCTGCAACAGCTTATCAATGAGCTGCTGTCTTTGGGGCTCTGCTGTTCACAAGGACAAGGGCCTCTCACCACACTGGTGTTACTGGAGTTCTTGAGGTGGTTGTGCAGGAGCTTGGTAGCACCATCCTGGAATGTTTTTGGCAAGGCACCAAGTAACATGGTAAACTCAGGAGTGTTCAATTCAAAGAGAGAAATCAGGACTATTTGTGCTGCCTGAAAAGTAGAAGAAAGAAAAGACCATCAGTTTTTATTCTTTGAAAAGAGTACGCATTCTGTCAGTAATGATCTTTACGGTAAATGATATGTCTTTCATTCAAAAGGACAACTCCCATATTGAACAGATTTTTGACATGTTCGTTGTGATGTGTCAAAAGGAATTGCTAACTGCCATAGTTAACTTAGTTCTGAGAGCTTACAATATACTTTTGCATTTATATCATTAACTTCTCAGATGCGAAGCGTACAGCTATTCACACCTAGTGAGAAAATCTTACCATCGTCCTGTCCACCACAACTTTCAATCGAACAAGTTACTGCAAAAATTTACAGGAAACAAATAAAACCAGAAGCTCAGATAAGCATGAAGAATCTAGGACTGCAGTTTTTCATTCCCATGTTTTCTATTTTAAGTGTGAACAGGACTAATTCGTTTCCCACCCAACTTCTCCTCTTCCTAAGGATCTGACAAATGTGTTTCATCAGACAGACAATTCCTGCTTCTATTTTCCTATCTCTCCTTGCAAGTCTCACCACTGAGGCTGTTTCAGCAACAGAAGACTCCATCTCAAGTGGACGATCTACTGGGATGGTGAGAATCACCTCTCTCTCATCCATGGACAGGCTAAACCCCACCAGATTCCCTAAATTTAATAAGGGAAATGAGGGTACTACCAAAACAACTGAGAATTTTACCATTAGTTTCACTGGACAAGGTTTGCCCTATCTGCCTGGAAGAATAGCTGCCAAAACAAAATCTCCGCTATTAGCAAACATACTGCTCTGCATATCCTGAACTAAGACAATAGAATCAAATGGGAATGGAAGCAGAATAAATCAGAGAGTACAGATCTGCAAGAGTAATTAACATCACATGTTCCTAACTAGACTTCCCCAGCAGCACACAACCCATGTGGATGGCACCAATTCTGGGTTTTTTTCCCATCCCTTGCCTTGAAAATATACAAAAATATAAAAATTGATTAAAAGAACAATAAAAATGAAGCAATGATGAAGGACCTCTGATGGTCTGCAGCACCACCTTCTTCAACAAGGGTGTAGCCACTGACACAGCAACCTATAGAACACATATTTGGACACAAACCAGTGGTTTAGGCTCACAAAGTAAGAAGCAAAGCTACACATGCTCTTATTTTGGAACAGCATACATACAGGCTTAGGAAGAGCAGACACTTGTGTCTGACCCTTTCGGGAACTTTCT